GAACCGGTTGTTAAATTACTTGAATCCCACCACTGGTTAAGGTCTATAATTTTTATAGACCTTACCCAGTGGCGTATAAAAATCAGTAGCTGATACAACTGAATTGAGGAGAATATTCCAAACTTTGACAACTATATTACAAAACAATTTTTTAAATTGTTTCAAATTTAAAACAGTTTACATTTGGTTTAAAGCGATATGTTTATTATTTTATTTCCAACATATTTATTTCAGGGTGGATTTGATTTAAATCGAGTTGATTTAAATCACAATTTAAATCATGATTTAAATCACTAGTAAAAAGGCTTGATTTAAATCAACTCGATTTAAATCATAATTTTTAAAGAGCAACTGTCATCTCTGCTACTCCTTTGACCCACTGTTGACTCTCCGATAGTCCCAGTGTTGCAGAATATACAGCCTCACGCTACATAACTAAGCTATCTTAAATAGAAAACTGTCTTACGATAGATTTTTACCCCAAAAGTTTTTTATTAAAATAAATTCGATAAAAATAAAAAAAATCCGATTTAAATAAAAAAAATCCGATTTAAATAAAAAAAAAATCTGATTTTTTTTGATTTTTTTAAAAAAATCATTGATTTTTATCCACCCTGATTTATTTCCAATGTATTTCCTTTGCATTCATCTCTAGGCAGTCTTCCCCAACTTAGTGTTCACCAGATGTTTGGGGTTGAACCTTCAGAATTTCCAACTGCCTAGAAATTCTAGCTATTGCACGCTTAGCATATCCGAAGACCCAAGTCCTTCAGGATGGTCAGGATAGATAAGATACCAATGATAGAATAACTCAATGCATCCATTCTATATAAAAAGAGGAAAATTAAAAGAGGAAATATATACTAATAACTTAACTGTGTTCTGACTAATAATGGAATCTTTTCTGAAAACTTTATATGCAGTGATGTTGAACGGTGACAAAATATAATATAGTGAGTTATTGGGAAATAGCTGTCTGTTCTGTTGATAGCAAGTCTTCCAGTATTGTCCATTTTCATATTGCTAGGGTTATTATTATTATTTTCTGGGGGGATGTGGTGACTCAGTGGCTAAGACGCTGAGCTTGCCGATCGAAAGGTCGGCAGTTCAGTGGTTCGAATCCCTAGTGCCGCATAATGGGGTGAGCTCCTGTTACTTGTCCCAGCTTCTGCCAACCTAGAAGTTCAAAGTAAAAAATGCAAGTAGAAAAATAGGGACCACCTTTGGTGGGAAGGTAACAGCATTCCGTGTGCCTTTGGCATTGAGTCACGTCGGCCACATGACCACGGAGACATCTTCGGATAGCGCTGGCTCTTTGAAGCTTTGACAGCGCTTTGAAACGGAGATGAGCACCACCCCCTAGAGTCGGGAACAACTAGCACATATGTATGAGGGGAACATTTACCCTTTACCTTTTAGAGTTATTTTGCTCTGTATTTAAAGGACTCAGTAAGTAGTTCTGCATTTGGCTTTTTGAAAGCACAAGTCTCGAGTACTTGTCTTCATCTGTTCTTTTTTAGAACATTTACTACTGAGAAGATTCCAGAATAGTAAAGGGAGCTTTTCTCTTGTAAAACATGAATAAATGAAACTACATAGAACTAATATGTTTCTTTTATATGTCTTTTATTTACAGCAACAGTGGACAATGTTGTTTCTGCTGAGGATTATATTCCTTCAGCCTTTTTCTTTGGGACTGTAAAGCAGAGGAAGAGAGGGAGGCAGAGATATCTATTTCTGACTTTCCCATTTTTCCTTCTTTCTTGCTCTCTTTACCTTCTTTTTCAAGCAATAGACACAGAACTCTTCCCAGAGCTCTCAAACTCCTACCAGAAAGCTTGGAATTTACTCAAGAACTAAATTGGCTGAGGGCCTCAGTGTGCTAACTCACCTACCCTTGATTTACAGTACCATCTTTCTACTCAGAACAAATATTCTCTAGGCAGTTGATCATAAAATATAAGTGCCATTAGAAAAAATAAAACACCTATAATAAAATTTAAATTAAGTTCAAATAAATGGAATAGAACCAAAGGTTAAAAATATAGGGGGATGGAGGCAGTTGCAATAATAATTGTGTAAGAAATAAAGAAGTCATAAAAGATTTTACGACTGATTAGCTCGGGCACGTGAAAAGACCTTCAGTTAACTTCCAGTGGTCTGACTATTGAAGCTTCATACGATGAAAACAAATACTTTGTATAACCACATTCCTCTTCATATTTATTAGTACATTTTTTATTTTATTCTTCAATTAAACCTTGATCTTCATTGACACCAATAATGTATCATCATCTACAACTACTACTACTACTACTACTACTACTACTACTACTACTACTACTATTATTACTACTACTACTTCTCTTTCTCCCTCCTCCTTCCTCCTTTTGCATTTTTTGGAGATTTCTTGTCCAAGTACTAACCAAATCTAAACCATCAGATTCTTTTTTTAGCCTAGACAAATTTGGCCAGTCTCAAACAGTCTTGAGACTGTTTCCACTCATATTTATCCTACCACAATTCCACTTATTAGGCCAAAAAGTAATACCTGACCTAATAGAAGCTTATTCACTTTCCTGATGGGAATTCTAATCTAGAATTCATCTATCTTAATCCAACATATTTAACATTTCAAATTAGCTCTTAAGCAGAGCCACACCTAATTCCCACATCACAAATTTGCATTCCCCATGTGTGACTATTCAACCAACACAATAAAGTTGCATGCATACAGATAGTATTGTGGTATTTAAAGACCTGGACTTGACCCAAAAGTGCTTTTCCAAAAGACAACTGGACTTTCTTCTTCTTTTCCTTGAAAACATTCCATGTCTCATCCAAGAAGCTTCTTCAGTTGCCTTTTGGAAAACAACCATGATCAACCATGACCTGGATGATTGACAATCTCCATAGACGTTTAGGCCTGGATTTGAGAATACCAGATATCAATTTCCAACAATTGTAGAATCAAGAAGATAAAATTAGAAGGGGAGAGTTATAAATGTTGCCTTACAAAATAAGGCAACCCTCTGGAATATATGTGGGTGGAAGCCTCTGTAAGCAACGGATGTATGAATTTTTATCATTTAAATTCCCAGAAGCCTAGTAAAATGGCTTAAAGTGAAATGCAGAGATTTGCCCAAGGCTACATAATGAACATAATATGCTCGGTAGAAGTTTAAACCTTTGTCCCTGACGGGCACTCAACATCCCATCCCTAGTAGCTTTTGGATGTCACTGCTTTTTCTTCATTTTATCTTCCCTTCACATTATGCATGCTTCTTTGCTAAATTTTATGAAGCTCACAGAAGAAAGAAAAGCATATTTTCCTGAATATGCATGGGCTGGAAGTAAAAGAGGGTGTGGGGAGTGTGTACAAATTAGGAGAAAATGTTGTCAAAATTAGGGGAAGTATAAAAATGAGGATACATGAGAGGAGGAAAGCAGGGGTGAAATCCAGCAGGTTCTGACAGGTTCTGGAGAACCGGTAGCGGAAATTTTGAGTAGTTCAGAGAACCAGCAAATACCACCTCTGGTTGGCCCCAGAGTGGGGTGGGAATGGGGATTTTGCAGTATCTTTCCCCTGGAGTGGGGTGGGAATGGAGATTTTGCAGTATCCTTCCCCTGCCACGCCTACCAAGCCACACCCACCAAGCCACAGAACTGGTAGTAAAAAAAATTGGATTTCACCACTGGAGGAAAGGAAATAAGAATCTGTTCTACAAAATGCTGGGTTGATATATTTGAAAAACAAAAGAAGGAAAGAGGAAAAGTTAACATTTGGAGAAATGGTGTCAAAAAAATACAGGCAGTTTTTGTTGTGCCTTGATGTGAAAATCTTACAGAATGGGGAATAATTTTTTTGAACAAAACATGAAAGTGAACAGAATTCAACGCTATGGCCAGTTCCAGATCTTAACTTGAGGGAACTGAACCTTGTAAATAGATTTTGGACTTTCTTCTCACCCCACAAAGAGCTCTACAACTCAGCTGCACCAGGGGTGAAATCTAAAATTTGTTACTACCGGTTCTGTGGGCGTGGCTTGGTGGTGGTGGTGTAATGTGACTGGGTGGGCGTGGCCAACTTTTTTTTTTTTTACTTTTAAAAGCATTTTTTCTACAACCTCTTCAGCTGAAGAGGTTGCAGAAAAAAAATGCTTTTAGAAGCCTCTGACGATCAGGCAACTCAGCTGGGATCGCCAGAGGCTTTTAAAGGCATTTTATTTCCTACAACCTCTTCGGCTGAAGAGGTTGCAGAAAAAAAATGCTTTTAAAAGCCTCTGACGATCCCAGCTGAGCTGTGCGATCATCAGAGGCTTTTTTTAAAATACTTTTAAAAGCATTTTTTCGGCCAAAGAAGTTGTAGAAAAAATGCTTTTAAAAGTTAAAAAAAAAAGCCTCTGATGATTGCGCAGCTCAGCTGGACATTGGGGGGGGGGGGCGCAGGGATTTTTGCTACCGGTTCTCCGAACCACCCGCCGCCATCGTTACTGGATCGGGCAGTCTGGTCCGACCCGATGCGGGAGCATTTCACCCCTGAAAACGTCTCTGTCATTAAGATGAACATGTCAAAGTATTCTGATGGAGTTCTAGCTTCAGTAGGGACCTTCACTGGGAAAGTCAGTTTTGCTACAGAGTAATGTCTGAATGTCCTTTACACTCAGGAAAAAGGGAATGAGGTTCTGACTGCGTATTTGCATATATAAATTCATTCTCTTTGCGTTCCTTCGATCTTTTCTTATATGACTCCATGGTGACAGAGCTTGGAAAAATCTCTGCTTCCCCGATCATTTCAGATCTTGCTTTATGGATGCAGCCAGAAATGTCATTTTAATCTGTTTTAATTGACAGTTTCCTTTTCGGCAGTCAGTTGATATCCCCCTGATGGTTCCAGCCACAGGGCACAAACACATTGGCACAAAGCAACTAAATGATATCAGACTTTAATTTCTTCAAAACGGAAGATGTCAAGCCTCTTCTCTTTCCTCCCCTTGCAGATTCTTCTTAAAATTCTTCCTCAAGTGCAACCAGAACTGTCTGAAGACCGCCGGAAACCCTCGAGATATGCGACGATTCCAGGTAAGGGATGTGGGATCGGCTGTTAAGTAAGTAAGTAAGTTGTCTGGTGGTTTTTTTTTCCCCTGGCAGTATTTCTCTGTTGCTCATCACTGATGCTGCAGGTAATAAACGAGATGACAGTAAATGATAACCCCCATCATAGATTGTGGAAGGTTTTTGTTCTCTCTGTTTATCATGTTCAATCCTTGCTTCCTCCCATTTTTTTGGGGAGGGGGGGAGGAAAATCCCCAAGAGACATCGCACCAACTGGAGATGCGTATTTGATTTGACACTCCAAAGTAAGACGCCTGCATGTAACAGGGTCTGCATACGGGAACCTCACTTAGATCTTTCCACATTTTTCAAAATAGCCTTTTTAATGTGCCAGGAAGTTGTATACTTCCACAACATACACTTTAGGCTCCATGGCTTAGGACCCGGGTACTTGCGGGACCGCCTACTACCACCAATAGCCTCCCACCGGCCGGAACGCTCTCATAGAGAGGGGCTCCTCCGGGTGCCGTCGGCCATACAATGTCGACTGGCGACCCCCAGAGGGAGAGCCTTCTCTGTGGGGGCACCTATTATCTGGAACGAGCTCCCCCCGGAGATACGGAGGATTCCAGATCTGCGCACCTTCCGCCGTGCTCTAAAGACCTTTTTATTTCACCAGGCGGGCCTGGCCTAACTTTCTCCCTCTTTTTAAACAATTTTTAAACAATTTATATATTTGAATATTTTCAATATTTTTTTAATTTTCAAAGTTTAAATCTGTTTTAAATTGATTGGGGTTTTAATCTGTCTGGGCCAAATTATTTAATTCGATTTTAGTTCTGTTTTTTAAATTTTGTATGTATGTATTTTATTGTTGGCTGTTCACCGCCCTGAGTCCTTCGGGAGAAGGGCGGTATACAAATTAAATAAAAGTAAAGTAAAAAGTAGGTTTGTTCTCAACTGTAGCTATTCCAGCCCAGGTCACTTTTAAGAACTCTCCCTAGTGAAAGGAAGTAGACTCATGGGAGGTTGACCCAGATGCTTTTGAGGAATATCCGCCACGAATTTCATCATAGCTGATGCTGATGAATTGAAAATACTGGCTAATAAAAACACAGGAGGAAGTGAAGGGTTCTGGTGAAGGGAGGCAAGGCGGATGGGGAAGAGGGTTGAGGGGATGTAGGCACTAAATCTTATTTATTTTTCTCTCTCTTTGACACCCCTTAATCGCTTAAGCCTGGTGGCACAGATGTAAGACTTTTGCAGTGATTCCTCCCCCCACTCTTTTCTCACTATAAATGGTTCTGAACTCTTTTTGCCGAGTCTGGTTACCATTGCTTGATGCAGGTATTCCTCAATGTAGAAACTGTAATTCAGCCTGGAATTATGACAATTCACCACGGCCAACTTGTTGTAGCCAACTGGCTCGCCACAGGACAAGAATTACACTATTCTAATATCCAAGAATTAGTGGGATAGAATCATTAAAGAAAGGATGCCAGAGGAGGGACAGAATGAAATGTGAATGGCAAAAATTAAAATAATTTTTTAAAAATTATTTTGAACAATGAAATAGAATTGTTAAGTTGTCTCACAGGCTGTGGCCAATTGTTCCATTCTGTGGAATTATAATCTTAACTTGTGGAGGAGGTTACGTGGTTAAGGGTGTTAACATATGACTGCTCCCAATTCCACAACTTTTTTTTTTGCAGTGGTTGTTAAGTGAACATAGTGGTTATTAAGCAAGTCTGTTTGCCCAATGGGTGTGTGTGTGTGTGTGTGTGTGTGTGAGAGAGAGAGAGAGAGAGAGAAATTGGAAGTAAATATTAAAAACCAGGAAAATCTGCCAAAAATTGCCCAGACATCTGCAATATTTATATAGGTCAGTGATATGAACATTTCTATTAGGCTTCTATAAGTTGGTTGTGCTATGCTTACCTCAGTGAAGCACCAGGAAGTATCTCAGTTTGCTTCACTTGCACACAAACACACATAAAACACAGATACACACACAAGGCCTCTTCTAACCCTACCAGTTGAAAGAGGCTTTTATGGTCAAGGAGAACCCAACTTTCATCCAAGTGAAATATCAGCTCAATGATTTGTGAAGCCCTAATTTTCAAAGCTGCATCTCCGCAGAGAAGGTAGATTGGAATAATTTAGGCAGTTGTTTCTCCTCTTTCCTGAAGTTTTCATTTTGTCTCTGCGGGAAACAAGAAGGGGCCATACTAGGAGGGCTGTCCAGAGCATTTTCTGCAGTGCCATAACGAGCCACGTCTTTTTCTGGGTTCACATGGCATTTGACGATAATGGCCATAAATTCCTAGGCAAAGGTCTCACTGCGAATGAGTGGAGGTCTTCTGGTCCAACTCTCTGGTTAACCATTTCAGACAAACTGTTACCCAATCTCTTTTCAAAAATCTCCAGTGTTGGAGCAGCCACAACATCTGGAGGCAACTTGTTCCACTGATGATGATGATGATGATGATGATGATGATGATGATTATTATTATTATTAATTATTTATTTGATTTGTATGCCACCCTATCTCCATAGGACTCAAGGCAGCTCACAACAATTAAATGAATTGTTCTCACTCTTAGGAATTTTTTTTTTTAATTTGATTTATATGCCGCCCTTCTCAGGGCAGAGACTCAGGGCAGCTTACAGTGCATTAAGCATACTTTTGTATATTTATACAAAGTCAGCTTATTGCCCCCACAAACTGGGTCCTCAATTTACCTACCTTAGAAAGGATGGAAGGCTGAGTCAACCTTGAGCCTGGCAAGATTCGAACTTACTTTAATTGCAGACAGCTGGTGTTAAATTACAGTGCCTTGTCTGCAGAGCTATCCAGGCTCCTGGAAATGTTTCTCTCCTTGAGTACTTTCCCATCCATTGCTTCTGTTCCGGCCTTCAGGTGTTACTGAGAATAGGCTGGCTGACCTTCTCTTTCTTGTTCCAGCCACTCAAATATTGGAACCCTGCTATCATGTCAAATCCCCCCCCTCCCTCAAGCCTACTTTTCATTAAACTAGACATTTCCTTTAAGAACTTCCATATCCCCTAATTCTGCTATCATCTCCTTTTCCATGGATGCTGTGATTTTGACGACATCACAGTTTGCACTTTGTTCTTCGGTATAAAATGAACAAATGTTAAAACAGCTTTTAATCTGAAGATCTGAAAGGTACCACTCAGCCTTTCACACAGGGTCAAGTGTTTTTAACACGAGTGCCTTCCCAAAGGATTGTTATGCCTTCTGTGCTCTAAAACACACACCTTCTGCTACCTTTCATCCCAGGACCAGCCCTCAGCATCCACAAAAAACAAATAAGTTGTTTAATGGGTTTGCTTCAGGTAACTGAGGACACTTGTCAGTCCAAGAAATAAAATAACTCAGAACTGATAAAAAAGATACAGGTTGCATCCAGGCAGAAGAGAAGGATAAATGGAGCTATAGCTTAGAGTCTTGATTGAATGAAGCTGCTTTGATGACAGCGTAAAATAAAATGTTTTGGCTGGAGTTAATCTCAGAGCTACTTCATTTTCAATGCTTTACAGTGTATATATCTGCGCACAAAGAGAGAGAAAGACGTGCACACACTATATATGTTTATGTTAAAATGATCTAGCTCTCGGATCTTAAGTGTTTTGGGTGTGTATGTGTCAGCTTGCCAATAATGTGCAGCTGAGAATAGATCACACGTCCCAATTTCATGCATCCCAAAGAATTAACCTTGGCTTTTTTTTTTTTTTAGAAAAAGACTTCATTTGAGCTTGATAGCAGCAGAATAAATAACTCCCCCAAAGTACCAGTGAGTGACAATATTACCAGAAATTCTGAACATATCATCTACATGCAGAGGTGGGATTCAGCCAGTTCGGACCGGTTCAGGCAAACCGGATGCTAATTTTACATCTGGTTTGTCGAACCGGTAGTTGCAAGGACTGGCTGGCCCCACCCACTCCACCCCTCCCCTCCCAGGAGTCTCCACCATGGTCCACCATGGCCACACCCACCCAGCAACCGGACAAAGAACCAGTTGCTAAAATTTTTGAATCCCACCCCTTTCTACATGTATCTGACTGCACTGTTGTGACCCAGGCCCAAGTAGGTAGTATTAGACGCAAACAGTTCCAAAACAAACAGACTTTATTAGAACAGCTGACAATTAACTCATTCTCAGCATAGTCCAAACTAAATTAAAACAAATTTACGGGACCGCCTGCTACCACCAATAGCCTCCCACCGACCAGTACACTCCCATAGAGAGGGGCTCCTCCGGGTGCCGTCAGCCAAACAATGTCGACTGGCGGCCCCCAGGGGGAGAGCCTTCTCTGTGGGGGCACCTACTATCTGGAACGAGCTCCCCCCGGATATACGGAGGATCCCGGATCTGTGTACCTTCCATCGCACGCTCAAGACTTTCTTATTTCATCAAGCTGGCCTGACCTAAGTCTTTCCCCTTTTTAAATGGAAATTTTAAATTTGGTTTTAAATTATTGGGGTTTTAAATTTGTTCAGCCAAATTATTTAATTCGTTTTATTTTATTTTAAATTTTGTATTTATATGTTTTATTCTATGGCTGTTCACCGCCCTGAGTCCTTCGGGAGTAGGGTGGTATATAAATTCAATAAAATAATAAAATAAATAAATAAATTCTTCTTAACACAAATTCTTCAGTCTAATCACCAACCTTGGTATAATTAGGCAACCTGCCAAACCTTCTCTTGGTAAAAGTTCAGAAGCAGAAGACGCCGACCAGAGATAAGTGCAACAAGACAAGAAACAAATCTATCAACGTTGTTTTCCGACAAAGAGCCCAAGAGCCGTTGGTGGTCTTTTAAGCCTTATGGGAGGGGCCAATCATCTCTTGGCCCTATCCCCGAGTCATCCTCTTTGCTTTAGCTGCTCTTGCCTTCTGGCAGCTCTTCTCATGCATGCACTAGGAACAGGCTCCTCCTGTTCTTCTGCCTCTCTACTGTCAGCCTCATCGCTGTCCGACTCCGCTGCCAGGTCCTC